ATGTGTGGACTTCAACTCCCAGAGTCCCCCAGCCAGCCATGCTGGCTGGGGAATTCTGGAAGTTGAAGTCGACACATCTTCAAGTTGCCAAGTTTGAAAAACACTGGTCTATACCTTCCATTGCCCCCAGCCAGTGTTGGAGAAAGCTGAATTTTCAGTGCGTCCAAAGAAACTCAAGAATTCTGAGCATGTTCCAAAATGTAGAAATAATGTCAGGAATGTTTACAGGGACTTATGTCTCACTACCACTTAAAATGCTGCAGATGGCAGAATATTCCACTGGGAATATGATTTTATTCACATTTCGGATGTTCCAAAGCCAACAGTCAGCCGCAGACGTGGGTCGTTGCTAAAGAGTTGCAAATTCATGGTAGGGAAGCAGAACCTTCCCATCGCTTTTAAGGTACAGGTAGGTCTCGATTAGCGCGGTCAGTGAATCCCACAAAAGAGGTGCATTATTTGAATTGGCATTATTCGAAGTGATCTTTCTGTGGAAGATGGGGGAATTGGTTCCGGCTTGACAGAAATTGGCCATGAAAATATTTAAACATGGTTTTTTATCTGTTTATTGATGAAATACTATATTAATAATAGAAGAGGATTAACCCATATCCAAAGCCTACTGTACCTGCTAATCTCCTGCATTTTGCTGTAGTTCTTCAACATGTTTTTCTTTTTCTTTTGGAGCTTTCCTTGAACGGAATCTCCCTTTCCTTCCCTTTGCACAAAACCCCAACGGGCACTGCGCACGCGCCAGCCTCGCGTGGACTAAATTTTGGCTGGCATGAAATGCAACCTGGTCTCAATTCATAATTGGCACTAAATCCAATATCGCACTATTCGAACTGGCACTAATCGTGACCTAGCTGTTCCTGACGGGGATCACGCTGGCTGCACAAAACCGTGGACCCGAGGCCCACCCACTCAAGGAATGGATGAAAGAGAAATAGAGGACCTGGTTCCTCAAGCGACCGCCTGTCTCCCATAGGATTTGCCCAGCCGATTCGATCCTACAGGGTGGCGCGCTCCAGGCTCCTTCGATGAAACAACGCTGTCTTTCAGGACCCCAACACCCACCTTCTCTGTAACAGCACCTGCCCTCCGGAATGAGGCTCCCCCCGAGATCTGGATGGCCCCCACGCTGCTGTTGTTCAGAAGAGCCACGAAGCCCTGCCTTTTGGGCCAGGCCTTTGGCGAGGGTGAGCGATGCCCCCTCGGATTGTGCAGGTCCCTCTCCTTTTTCTGCTCCAGGCCAGTTTCTCTCATTGTGCTAGCTTTTACAGTATTTCTTATTTTTGTTTTATTGCATTTTATTGGTCCGCTTTTACTGATGCGCCGGGTGGCACACCATTGAATAAATGCATAAAAGAAAACAGAATAGAATCAAAATCAGGCACCCCAACGGTCATTGGTAGGAGAAGAAGAAAAGACGCCCAGGGAGACATCTAGGAGGGGGCCCCCTATTAATTTTAATGCTGACGGGAAGCCCCTTTTGGACTTTTTGTGTGAAACAGGAAAAAAAATGAAACCACCATATATGGATTTGATGATTCATTAATACTAGTAGGCAATAGAAAAAATGGATCGTACATTGTAATCTTAGAGTAAGAGTTTAATGTACGTAGGTTTTACTTATAGTTGCTGCAAAAGAAGTCAGAAGTCATTCTTTTTCTGTGTTTCTGTTTCTTCCTTCTTTTTCTTTCTGCTCTCTGCTTGCTTTCTTTTTCTCTGTCCCTTCTCTTTCCTATTCTTGTTCTTGACGATTAGATTTGATCTCTTTTGACACAGAATACAGTTATTACAAAAGAACCGGAAAAAGAGAAAAGAAAACACCTCCTCAGCCAGGCGCAGAAACCAGTTCTGTGCTCCCTGATTTTTTGTTTCTGGAGATTTCAGGGTTAAGGCAGTGCATAAGTGGTGATGGAGATTAAACTTTGCCCCTGGCGCCACCCTGGCAAACTTCTTTGCTCCTCCAGCTGCTGACTCTGCCAGGCCCGCCTCTTCTCTCCACCCCTCCCAGCCGAGCCGGGTATTTAAAAGTCTGCCGAGAGGGTCTTGCAGGACAAACTTTCCGGAGTCTGCAGAAGGGGAGGTAAAGAGCAGGTTGGGTTCTCGCTTCAGATGTCTGCATCTTCTTTCAGGGATCGTCGGTGGTGGTCATCTGGGTTGGAAACAGGGAGGGGATGGTTGTTCTGGCGAGCAAAAGCAATGCAAGGAACCTGGACAGAGCAAGAACAAACTGCGATCTAAAAGTTTGGGTTGGTTATTTAGGTGGCAATAAGGAATTCAGCCGGACGGTAACTGCCTTTCTGGGTTGGAAATAGAGCTGAACCTGGGTCTGGGGGTCTGGGTCTCTTAGATAGGGTCCAGATTTCCAGGGGCAAAAGAGAAGTCTCATTTCCCCCCCCCCAATTCACCCCCTAATCGAATCTATTTTTCCCCCCAAGGGACAGCTTGATCAGCATGAAGTTCTTTGCTCTGTTTTTCACAGCGGCGTTGCTGAGTGGTAAGTAATCCAACCGGGATGTACACTTCTATGAAACAGGAAAAAGGGAATAGGGGGGAGATAGAAAAATAAGCAAGGCGTTCTGCTTGTCGACCCTGTTCTGCATCTCTGGAGTGCCATTGGCCTGTAGACGACTCCTCTCCTTCACGGAGGTGGAGCTCCCATAGACAGTGGCAGTGTACCTCCGAGCAGGAGATGCTGGGAAACAGGTGATGCTGTAGCCAGTGAGGAACAGGAGGTAAAAAGGAGGGTCTCTGGGGAGACTGGGGTACTGGAAGGACAGGAGGGCTGAACTCTGTTGATCCAGGGTGACTGGAGTTCCCACAATATGCTAGACCAGGGTTTCTCAACCTCAGCAACTTTAAGATGGGTGGACTTCAACTCCCAGAATTCCCTAGCCAGCGGGGCTGGCTGGGGAATTCT